CGGGCGCGGCAGCGGCAGGAAGCGGCGAAGGAAGCTCCGCTCCGCTCCGCCCCCGGCCTCACCGCGCCGCTCCCCGCCCCAGCCGCAGCCCGGCCGGCTCCGCACGAGTGGCAGCGGCGTTGGTGCTGGTTCCCGGGTGGGAAGGGCAGTGGGGAAGCGGGGCCGCCCGGGAGCGCACCGGGGCCCACTGAGAGGCAACAGGTAGCGACAGGTCTGGCTGCGGGGCACCCTGGAAACTCAGGGCAAGCGCTGGGGTGACCTTCACTTCTGAATTTTGCTGAAAGAGCTGGAGATGCTGCGCTGGGTTTGTGCCCGTGGGCAGCGCGCAGGGCTGTGGAAAGCCGTGCCCAGAGGTTATGCAGCAGGGTCTGGAAGGAGAACAGCATCAAATGTGTATATCTCCACCGAGGACGGAGTAAAGGATGAGAGTAAAGGATGTCCAGCACTCGAGGAAGGAGCTACTGGAAACTGGGTTGGGTGCCGCTGGGTTTGAGTGTGGGAGGTTGTACAGAACTGGAAAGTCAGGTGAAGAAGAGGTGAAATGGAGAGAGTCCCAAGAGGGGAAATTAAGGAAGCTGCTGAAGAGGAGTTGACTGAGTGCAGCCACGAAGACAAAAGGAGAATTGGATGTGCTGCTTCCCACCTTTTCACCAAGCTGCAGGAGTTTGCTAAGCTCTATCTGTTCTGACCTCAAATTCTCAGAGTCTTTCACAAACTGGCTAGTGAATGTTTCCTATTTCAGCAAGCAAGCTAGTGTGTTCTCTCTTTTTGTGCATGGTATGATCCAGGGTCAAATCAAAACCATGAAAATGCTTATTCCTGTGAATGTGCATTTCATATGACAAGTGTTCTGGTGCTTCACATTGAACGCTTTATGGTCCTTATGGTGATACATGCAATAAGTGCAGATTAACTGTGGCCATTATTTTACTACAGATAAAATATACAGTAAATTATCCTTCAGAAGATAATTTCTAGAAGCAGTGTATTCTATCCTTACCTTGTGGGAAATGGAAAATGCATTAAACCTCAATTTGTATATAGATATACTGCTTCATACAGACAATTTGCAAATGCCTGTCAAGGAGGCCATATGGAGAGGCTGGCAGAAGGGCAGCTAGTGAACCAGTTATATGTGCCAAGTTCAATTTGTCACACTTTACAGTACCAAGAAATATTTTGTTCTCGTTTTGAGAAGGAAAACTCTAATTTAAGTAAAAATTTAACAACCTACTCCTCAAAGCACATTTTTTATGAGAAGATCCAGCATGCCTGCTTTTAAAGACTAGAATTGCTGGTATCTAACATATCTACAAAGGTATGCAATAAATACGGAATACTGATTTAAAGTATGTGGAACAGAGGGACCCTCATTTCTCCACTCACATACGTCTTGGCTTGTGGCTAGAAGACTGGCAGCTTCAAAACTAAAACTAGGGTTTCAGTTCAAAACCAAAACATTCAAAACTGAAACCAGGGATCATTGACTTATAGAGGGGACATACAAAGTTTGAGTCCAACTCCTGACTGTGCACAGTACAGCCACAAGAATTATACACCATGTGCCTCAGAGTATTGTCCAAACACTTCTTGAAGTCTGGTGGGTCTGGAGCCATGACCACTTCCTTAAGGAGGCTGTTTCAGTGCCTGACCACCCTCTGGGTGAAGGTTTTCCTAATATCTAACCTAACCTGTGGTGCAGTTTCATGCCATTTCCTCGCATCCACTCACTGGTCACCAGAAATGAGATTGGATTCTGGACCACATCTCCTGTGGCTGTAAGGGGACAGTGACAGTGGTGAAAGCGGTGCAGGCCAGTGCTAAAATCACCCTTTCTCCTCGACACTTACACTCAGAGGCTGGGATTTTTAAAATTTTATTTGGTATCAAAATTCCTCATCTCTGTTTCATCTCCCAGCCTTTGGTACTTTCAGGCGTCTCCACAGTTTGTGCTGGCTGGTAGAATTTACCCTGCCCAGGCAATGCAGGATAAATGCTGGCTGTACCGAAGCCGGAGGCGGTGTCTGTGTAACCGGGCAGGTGCCAGGGGCGGGAAGGCGGTGTCTCCTCCCCGCCTGCGGGGGCGGACGGCGGGGCTGGGCTGGGCCGGGCCGGGCCGGGCCTGGCTGTGCGGCCGCCACGGGAGCCGGGATGGGGCCCGGGCGCTGGTGGCGGGCGGCGCTGCCCGCCCCGAGCGGTCCCGCGGCCGGGCTGACCGGCTGTGCCTCCCGCCAGGCCCCGCCTGCCGCAGCCTCTGCGCCGCCGCGGCGCCCGAGCTCTCCTACCAGCAGCTCAAAGACTTGAAGAAGGCCAACGTCCTTCACATCGACGTGCGGGAGAGGTGGGAGATCGACAGGTTTGGAAAAATCCCCGAGTCCATCAACATACCGCGTAAGTTGTGAACGCCGCTGTTTGCAGGCGTCGGGTGTTCCGTGTTCCTCCTGGCTGGAGCAAAGAGGAACGCTGCTAAAAAGCTGCTGGCATGTAATGAGGCTGAACTTTTCCTCCAGAGGAGTTAGAAGTCTTGCAATGTAAACCTGTCTTGGATGGAGAATAAACAATAGCTTGTTTTCTGTATTTCCCAGTGGGTGAATTAATGGAAGCTCTGCAAATGGACCCAACGGAGTTCAAGGAGCAGTATAATCAAAAAATGCCATCCAAGTCAGACCCTGTGGTTTTCTCCTGTTTGGCAGGAACAAGAAGTAAACAAGCACTTGGTTTTGCCACGTCCTTGGGTTTCAGCAGGTACGACTTTGTGTGTAAGGATGGGATGAATGCTGCTTCTCCCCATGAAGCAGAAGACATACTCGCCTGTGTACAAGGGTAAAAATTTACATGTGGAATATGAACAAAACAATTGGTATTTGAGTTAGACATCTCTTGTCTCCACTGAACCGGGAAGGATGCCATTGGGTGTTGCAGCAAAGTGAGATGTACCACCTTCTGAAATGACCCTTTAGCAGCTCTGCACATGTGCCACTGGTGACACAAACTGCTGCAAGACCACGCTACCACTGAAGGGTCCTTCTGCCTCTTAGGGCTCTCTTGCTGAGATGTTTCTTCCTTAAAGAGCTCCATAAGCACTAGTCCTGAGATTTAGGAAGATTGTAAAGGTGGAGAACTGCTTGCCTTGGTAGTAATACAGTCTTAAATAGTTTAAGAAACCACACCCTTTGCTGAATTGCAGTTCTACCTTTACAGCTCACTGTTGACAAAGGATGCCTTCACTTCCTTTGGATTATTTGCCAGGAGTAAAGCAGTGAAGGCAATAGCTGACAAAACAATGAGATGATAGAGTGAAAGTGAAATGCAGCATTTGGTTTGCAGAATTGTTAAACCTATCTTTAGAAGGTGCCTCACTGTCTTGAAGACTGCAGATAAAATTTAAGACATTGGTTATTTTCTCATGTTTTCACTGAACTGCAATTCAAGAACTGGAACATTGATTATTTCTAGTCAAAAGTATGGAAGCATGTTCTTGTTTCAGAGTGAAAAATATTCTCCATTACCTGTTTTTCATGATGCCCAGTTGAAGGAGTCAATATTGTTTTGCATAGTGGCTTTTTGTTTTACAGAGTTTAGTTTTGCACAGGTTGATGTCAGACCTGTAGAGCATGTAGGTTTGCAAGGAAGTAAAGATCAGTGTGCAGAGTTTATTTGGTGACAACTGAAGTATTAGACATAATAAATAGATGTGTATATCTCCCACTGCTGTGAGTCTCTTCTCACTCTTTTAAAAAAAACCTGACAGCTGTTTCATTGATCCAGTTACTATTTCTTGCTTGATGTTTGAACTCCAACATTGTAATTTGGAAGAAAAGAGTTACAGAACTCACTGCATGGAAGCAGATAGTATTAGAGTAAAAAGAATGTCTATCTGGCTCATTGGAAGCTAGGTACAAATGTGTGTGGTTGCAGAGAATTTCTGTGTTTTCTCTTTATTTTAATCTGTTTTTTGTAGGGTTTTTTTTGTTTGTTTGTTTGTTTGTGGGGTTTTGGGTGTTTATTTTTTGCTTTGGTTTCGGGGTTTTTTTTGCTGTGTCCTATTTAAGCGACAGTGTTAAAGACTCTTCTTGAGAAAGGTATCTTCTGCATATTTTCAGAGTTCAGCAGTATGCTGGTGGCTTTGACGACTGGGTAAAACATGAACCTCCAGAAAAGAAATGAAGATGACAGCCCCACCTGCATGGACGTTCACCTTCAAACAGCCATGCATATCAACTGCCTAGTTTAAATTACACCCAAAGACTATGACACAAACAGAGAACATTAAATTTGCTCAACTTTCAACCTTTACTTTGGGTTACGGTTTTGGTGAATGCATGTGAAGAGAACCTAAGTGCAGATTATGTTTACTTTTTTTGTATGATGTAGTTTATGACTGTTTAAACTAATCATGATAGGCCAAATAAAATTATTATTTCTCAAATACCTGTATGGGGTAGTTGGTTTAGAATAGTCAAACTGCAGATATTCTAGTGTCAAGGGAACAACAGAACCCTACTGCTGGCTCTGTTGTGCCAGGCCTCACCAGGACTAACAATGCCTTTTGAAGATCATTAAGGTCAGAATGTATAGAGGATTTCATGATTTAGTTAAATGTATAATTCGTCATGCTTAGCTGTATTGATCAAGCCACCAAACTTCAGCATACAAACAAACAAAGCAAGGCACTCTAATCAACTAAGTCAGTACTTAGTCATGAGCAGGCAACGCTTCCTTTTGTAGCTAAATTAACGTTTCTTGGGAACACCTAAAACTACATAACCACAAAAAATAAGCAAGTTATTCTATGTTACACCAAGATCTATCTAGCCCGTTATTTTCTGTTTGGCAGCAATTTGTAATAAACATCTGAGGAAGAGCATAAAACAGGATTAGTAGTGGTACAATCTCCAGATTACTCTCATTTACAACTCAGAGTGTTTCAGGCTTTGCATGTCTTACTATATTTGGGTATTTGTAAATTTTTCAGAAACAGCAGTGGTGAGAAGTCTTTCCTTTTGTTGCTTCCCAACTTTCCATATATTCATCAGCTGCTCTGGCTCCTTCTGTCAGAAGTGAGCAGTTGTCACCTATCAGTCTTCACACCAACTGTGATTCTTCTAGACCTACTGTCTTTTTCAACTGAGAAGATATGGGTTGGTTTTTTAGAATGGGAAAATTACCTCTTTTTTATTTTCCTTTTTTATTAATCGTGGCAGGGTTTTGCAAGATTTTTGCTCATACTATTTGTAGCTTACCAAATTAGACGATCCTTCCTAATTTGCCTTCCAAATGATGGGGTTTAAGTTAAATAACTTGTCTGATCCAGTTTGGTTCCTTTGGGATTTTTCTTTAAGTCTTTTTGTCATATATGGCTTGTGTTTGCTTTGACACTTCAGTTACCTGTTGCTATATAATCTGTGAAGAGTTTCAGCTACCTCTCTTTCAAGGAGATGCCACATTTTTATGCACCTCTCCTTTGACGTGAAGCACAAGAAAGGTGATTTTTTTTTTCTGCACGCTTAGTAACAAGACTGTTGAATTCACATTATGGTCCATTTCCCGTTGTTTAAAACTACATATTTTTAAAACTGTTTTCACTGAATCCAGCTCTTTTGACTGCACTTTATTGCCTTTCACTGTTACTGGAATCAAAGCTGGTAAAATTAGCCTCATCTTCCCAGTAGAGAAATGCCTTAAGAAACTTCTAGGTACCATCAAGAAGTGCCTGACATTTTAGCTCCAAGATTTAGGTCCCATTGTGCTTTAAGGTGTGAAGTCAAGTCTGTAAAGACTCTTCAGCAGCAAGACAAAATTTAATCTAGCCAGAATTCTTAATTTCCCAATCCAAAACATGAACTTTCCTGGCAGAAAGTATATGTGAGAAGACTGATGCTTACCTAAAGAGCAGTTCCTGTTTAATTACTCCACACAACACAGGTCAAGTTGCTTTGATTTATTTCTATTCCCCAAGTCCACAATACAAATCGCACATTTTAGACTTCAAGAAATGAAAGCAAAATAGCCAAATTCCACTTCATCAATCAAGTGTCTATAAAAGGTATGGATCAAATGGCAACCAAGTAGCAAAGACCAAAATGCATATTTTTTCCACCTCACCAAAGTGTCTGGGGCTGGTTCACATAATGGTTTATGGAAATAACCTGAACAGAAATAAATGCTAGTAGCCTACAACACTTCAGTTATATTTCACTGAAATGACCAGCCAATTACAAAGACAGGTATTTGCAAAAACAGGTGGGGTTTTTTAAGGGGACAGTTTTTTGAACCAAGACACATCACAGAGCACACATTTTCAATCTCCCTCCAGGATTTCAGAGCAGTGAAATGTGTTGTTTCAGGAAAACAAAATAAAACCAAACCAAACCAAAAAAAAAAAAAAACAAACAAACAAAAAAAAAAAACCCAAAACAAAACAATGTTACTGAACTTTATCATTCAACTTTTATACTTGAGCAAGTTGGCATCATCATTCCAAATAAAGTTGTACAGAAATTAGTTAGAAACAAAGTTATCTAAAAAAATCAAGTAATCAATTAAGGCCAATTCCTGTCTTCAGTGGGATATCTGCCTGAGTAAGGAACGCAGGATATGGCCTTCTGTTTAAAGAAATCTCATTTTCTCCAGCACAAAGGTAACCAAGGAATCCCATTTCAATTATTCTAGAGTTGCTCCTAACATCCCAATTAAAATTAGCCAGTATGAAGCTCACCAAACACTTGATCCTCTTAAATAAACTCTCTAATGAACCACACAAATTCACACTAACAGTGAAGGCAGACTAACAGTGTATATCTTCTCTACAAAAAAATCCACCATAAAAAATAGCAATAATATCCAGATTTGTACTTGATTGTGAAATATTCCGATTGTACCATACAGTAAATTTATTTGAAAAAAAAAGAATCCTAGTATGTTGGGTTGTCTTAATTTCTAACACTTGAAATGTTTCAGAAAACTGCAGAATCACTATACATATTGCACTTCTCTGGCAAGCTGGGCTACTGTATCGTGGCAAAAACAACCAAGTAGATCTACTGAGGAATATAGCTTTCTTAAACCCAAAAACAGAAACTGACTTTCTTTCCTGCAGTTTTCATTAAAACTGTAACAATATTCTTTACAAGCTTTTCTAGGCATTTGTTTCTGAAGGACTGTGTGTTACTTGTTGCAGAATCTATATTTATTTTTTTTAAATCAACAAAACTGAAGGTAATGGATAGATTCAACACAGAGTGCTGTGCGCTATCTTCCTTCAGTCACAAACAAAATGAAAACAACACAAGTCATTAATACAGTTACACTTAGGCCTCGGGTTACTGTCGCTCTAAAAATAGCTCACTTCAACACAAATAAAACCAATAATGAACTATTTGTTTTGAGTGAAAAACGTTAATCTTTTGCAGCTTGGTTTAAAGTTTGATTCCTTACACTGAAAAATCTTAGCACATTTGTTCCAGCGTCAGAGAAAATGATGTAGTTTTAGAGAAAAAGCTTTCAAGATGCTTGACACAAACAAGCTATTTATTCTTCGAGTTCTTTGTCAAAGATGTTACTAAAACCTTCTGTCCATTTCATGAACACAGGAAATATCCCAGGATGTCTTGAGTCAAAGTGGTCCATAAAGAAATTCTTTGGAATGCCTTAAGATTGGCTATAGCTAGAGTTCTGGCTACCATTTGGACCCTGTTCTCCTTCACTGTTGAAGAAAACAAAAACATGTCTCTTCAATAAGAAGCATCATATTACATTTTTATCCTTTTTTTTAAATTAAAAAATAAAGTATTTTGAAAGTAATAAAAATTTTTGAAAAGAAAATATTTCAACATACACATAAATAGGTCAAAATATTCTGCTCAGTTTCATAAAAAAACCCAAAGGTTCTTCTCAGCATGCATAAATAACCTCACCATATTTATGCGAATAATAAATTCAATATATGCCCATGAAGCTGCCTGCTGAATCTTGCTGAATCTACTTCTGAAGTCAACACTGCGAAGTTCACATTACATAAGCATGTGCACAGGAATTTGCATGTGCAGGTTCCCAGCAGTGGTATTTAATCACAGTAATTAAATACGACATCAAGCAGGCCCAGTTCCATTGAACCTGGCCCAGCCATGGAGCCTCACACTGGGGTTCCTTAGAGTTGCTGAGCTGTATTGATCACATTCTAATCACATTAACACTCTCCGTAAGATAATGAATGTTATGCTTCCCACTAGCTGCTGAACAATCAGGCTGGTTTTGTATCAGAAACATCTGCACTGTAAAAACATACACTGTACCTTGAATTAAACATTTACACATTCTTAAGATCACAGTCTAGTTTTTCCATAGGAAAGGTGCAATAAGAAAGTACCGTACCTGTTTGGAGGTGGTTTTGGTTTAGGCATTTTACTAAGAATAGTAGCCATCTCTTTTCTCTCATCAAAGTTCTTCCACTGCTCATACAGCTTCAGAATAACCCTGATTATTTCTAAAATCTATATTAGAAAGAAAAGAGATCCTAAGGTTAGACATGACAGTGATTTCACCTTTGTCATACATAGCCTGTTTCAGTGTGCAATTAACTAAATGGGCCCCAAACTGAAACTAAGCAACACAATTTTCATATTATAACCAGAGCTGCCTCACACTTACTCTGGCCCCAAAAAAGCATTTAATTAGTTTTTTGATTAATTGTGAATCGAAGCCTGAACAGAATACTTTCAACTGCATTTACTGCTTCTCTTCCCCTGCAAACTAAATACCTATTTATTTACTTATTTATTTGCTACTACTGTCACAGTTTATAAAGTTGTGGCAGTAGTAGCTCCTGGGAAAACACAGACTTGGGCAGCATGACTGCAGCTACATGACCATGCATTATCAATACCATAATCAATGATTATCAATGTTCTATACATATCAGGGGAACAGTGTGGGAAAACAAAAGCCCAAAACCACAAAACATTCATCTGAACTCTTTCCTTCCAAGAAAGAGCCAAGGAATTTTTCAATACTTCTTACATTCCTATATACATATAATAAGAATTGTTGACACTTCATATTCTGCTTCTGGAAGTGTAAGCATTCCATACCAGTTTGGACTTTCTATCTTTCCTTTGAATTTCTAGTGCAATATTTTGTCCTTGAAAAGAAAAATCACAGTTGGTGCTTCACTATGTCCCTGGATCACTGACACAAGAACCAATACAAGTAAACATTCAAAGATACTCAGTTATCAAGCTTATGGTAATTTTATCTATTATACATGTTGGTTCTCCTTTGCTGTCAGTGTGTTATCACCCTGCCTTTGAATGTATGACAGCATAATTCACAGAGCTCTCCACGCAGCATAGCATCCACATTGTGTTTACACTTCAAGACAAATCCTGGAATACAAACACAATGCCGTAACATCAGTGGGATAAAGGGCAA